GAAAAAAAAAAAAAAAAGGCCAAAGAAAAGAACCTGGTAAGTTTCCTTCAGGACTTTTCTATTTTTAAATATTGTTGACAAATTACAATAACTTAAATCCCAAAGCAAAATGGGAATTCAAGGACACAGGGCTAGGACATATGAACAAGACACTGAAACAGGGAAGGCCTAGGGATGAAAACTGGTAGCTAATTACAGAGAAACGAAACGAACACATATGTGAACTTTCACTTTACCTAGACTCAAAGGCTCTAACAGGAAGGAAAATCCCAAAGAAAGCTTTTCTTCGAACTAAGTAAAACCCATCTCCAACTTCTTTCCTTAATCCTCTAGAAGATAGTCTAAATCTGTATGTGAGCATGTGAATATGTGAGTGTGTGAATGTGTGAATGTGTGAGCGTGTGTGTTTAGGATGGATAGTGAGGAAAATCAGAGGAGAAAGTTGACAAGTTCATCATCTCCCTTCTTTGCTACAGCTGGGTACCAAGGGCATGTAGCTCAACACAATGGCTCTTCTCAATTTCTAGCTGCAGTCGTGAGCTAACAACCCAAAGCAAGGCTACAGGCGGGGGATGCAGGGAACCACAGGCAGTAAGAATCAGGAAGACCAGTCCTACTGGCTTCCAGGTTAAGGAAAGAGCCCGACCTTCAGAACAACAAATGACCGGGCTCCCTGAGCTGTCTAGGGAGGCCAGGGTGCTGCCAGTGCCCAAGACCGGAAATGAACAAAGCGGGAGGGCTGTCAATATCTCATCGGAACAAATGGGAAATCGTCAGCAGTCTAAGAAGATGATGAGAGGTTCACCTGACCTGCACAGCCAACCAGAAGCCCAGAGCTGGGTCAGGCTGGTTAGGCACCTAAATCCTATTAATTAGCCGTAATTAGCCGGGACTCCGGTTTCTGCCTCCTGCCTTCAAACACCAGTGCCTGAGATGCCAAGGGTCCAGTGGCAAGGCCCGGAAGGTGCCAGGGACCGAGAACTCCCAGAAGCAGCAGTGGGTTCTCCTTTCTGATGTGGACTTTTACTAATTTGAATTCCTGATCTAAGAAAGCAATGATTTGTCTGAAAGAAGAGAGCATTTAGGAATGTGTTCCTAGGACTAAATGTAGCTTGACAAGAAGCCATCCTCAGGCCTGAAGCCAAGGAGAGAGGCAAGTGGCCTAGTAGGCTGAACCACAAGAAATTGCCAATATTCGGCTGGTTTTGACCTACAACCACCCCCCACCCCACCCAACCCCCACACTTTTCTCCACAAAGGGAAATAAACTAGCAAGGTGAGGCTTATCAGTGCTGGACCCTGGGTTCCAGGACCATACATTTTAAAGTTAAAGGGCTTCGTGCTTCAGGTAGGGAAGATAGCATCATCCTCAGTTCATTGTTGGGCTCACAGGTCCACAGAGGGGAGGAGACACTTGCAACTTCGCACACTAGCATGTGGGCAGCTCAGGTCACCGTGTTTCTGCCGTTCTTGCCAATCATGGTCATTTATGATCACAACACACTGTGGTGTGGGCTGCTCTCACCCCTGACCCAGGGCCAGTCTCTGGCAGAGCTTTCAGGAAAGGCCCAGCACTACAGCAAGGGCAACACCTGCCTCTTCCCCCAAATCCTCCAAGAGGCAATGGAGTGTTTCCAACCAGCTTGAAGGCGGGTGGGGGGGGGGGGGGGCACACATACCTGTGTCAAAAGCACAGGCTTAATTAAACACATGAAGAAAAGATCAAGGCTCCCTGAAGTGTAACCATTCACAGCCATCCAGCCTTTCAGAACCCGCTGTTCTGTGCTTTTGTTAAAAGCAAGCTTGAGGAGTTAGCAATGCTCAGGAGGGGTCTCCCTCCTTGTGGGGGCCAGAGGGAGGAGGGGGGCCCAATGTGGGGACTGAGGAATAGGAGTGTTGACAACAAGCCACACCTAGATGCCCTTGGGATGTCCTGTTGTGTCCCTGAGCAACCGTGGTCTGAGGGGAAAGGGGCCTTGTAAAGAACCTCACACCAGGACATGCGTCCCAAGGGCCGGCAGACCTTCTCGCAAAGATTCTTCCAGGAATTAAATAGGCCTCATTCCAGTCTCGAAAAAAACAAGACTCTGGGAATGACTCCTAAAAACTCCAAGACCCCAAACTGTCATTCTGATGCTGACTCCAGCCTCCCGGTCTCCTATTTTCCTCCTTCCTAAGACACTAATGCTGGGAAAGACCAGCCTGACAAGTTAAGTGGGGGGATCAGAAAGGAGGTCTGTAAACACCAGGTGCTGCATAAACGCAGAAGATGATGTGCCTGACCATGGCCCCGTTAGTCATTCTAAGCCAGCTCCAAACCACTACTCTTCCAGAAACCAAAGTAAGAAACACTAGGCAAGTCCCTTAGAGGCAAAAGTGGTGAGGACCACACTGTTAAGGTCAGCAATGTGTCCTAATGGCCGGCTGGGAGCTGCATGCTTCGCCGACCTGCTCTGAAACATGTTCTCATTGCCCTTGACCAGGAAACAGGTAATGGTTGCTTTTACAGGAAGGAAATGTGAGAGTGGCTAAAAGGGGAGCCAGATAGCAAAACAGATGGTGGAAGACAGACACCTTGTTCAAGTCTTAGAGCTTGGTGCCCGACTCAGCGACCAGTCCAGGCAGCTTTCAAATTTCCCTTCCCTTGAATTTTTTCCTCTTTAAGTATTTTCTTTTCTCTACCAGCAAGTGTATCAGAAGGAAAATGATGCAATTTTGTAAAGGCCAGGAGGAAAGGTTAGCGCTATTCTGAGTTGACAAATAGAAGACATCATCATCATCATCTTCATCATTACTACCAGACCCTTGGGATACTAAACGATGTGAAGTGAAGACAGAGTAACCACCAAGCGTCTTAGAAAAAATATGAGGATAATGGAGACATCCACTCAGCCCCTGGCAGGGACCTGGATCCCCAAGGGGGGGGTAAACAGAGGATAATCCTGTTTAGAATCAGTGGAAGGAGACGAGGGATCTGAGGAGAAAGGGCAGAGAGCAGTATCTGTTTCCAATCACCATCACTGGTGGCCCCTGATGCTGGGGGCCACTGGATTCCAATCATCCAATCACTTTTGGGTAATGAACACCTGCCAAGAACAGAGGGAAGGAAAGAAATGGAAAGAGAAAAAGGGATTCTGGCTACTGCTAACGAAGGGGCTCAATCCCAGCTTCAAGGCCTGCTCCTGACCGTGACCATAGAGACAAGGGAGCCTACGTGGACAACTCAAATTCTATAGGATCCTTATCCCACCACGCCTCATCCTACAGAGAGAGAATGTGGCAGGCAGGGGCCCATCAGAGACGGGATATGGAGGAGCTGAGAGAATGCCTCTGTCTTTGCGCCAGCTCACGAAGCAGCCTCAGACTAATCCTGCTTCTGCCTCCGACAGGTGCAATTCTACCAATGGCAGACCCAGTCTTTGTCTTTCCTCCGGCTGGAGGAGTAAGAAATGGGTTCAGCCTCTTACTCAATGGCAAGTGGCCACCACTCCGTGCCCATTACATCAGTTATACTACCACTTCCCCAAAAGATGGCTGCAACCTAACAAAACAACAAAAAGTAGAAAACGGTCAATTGCCTCACAGCACAGAGCACTGCCCAGAGCCAGCAAGGTTTGGATTATGCTGTGTGCTGCGCCCCGCCAAAGGGCCATTTAGTGGAGCCAAGGGCTTATAGACACATTAGAGACTTAGGAACTGGGGCTATGGAGAGTCCAGGGAAGGGCCCAGAACACACCATCTGTGGCCCCTTCCCCAATCAAGAATGAAGAGGAGTCCCTCGGTTGGCTGAACTGTTAATAGGATTCACATTCCACAACCCCTCCCCCTCCCCCACCCCAGCCAAGGGGTGAGGGGACGGAGGCAAAAAAAAAAAAAAAAAAAAAAAAAAAAAAAAATAAACAGTCTTCACTGAAAAAAGAGGAGAGAGATGAGACACCACGGGCAACAAAACTGAGTGCCTCCCACCCAAGATGAGGGGGGGCCCGTGAACCAAAGTACCAGTGAGCTCATAAAACAGGGAGCCATTCGAAAACCAAGGTCACCCCTTTCCTCATTCCCGGGTTGGGACTTGATCATAGTGACAGAGAGACAGAGCGGTGACCAAACTCATCATCTGTGCCAGCTTCACTGCTTTCCTCCTTCTGGCAGGCAGGCAGCAAATGCAGGGAACCTGCAGGCGGTCCGCCAACGTCTCCAAGGAAATATTCCATGATAAGAGACAGGGAAGCCACATTTGGAGAGTCTGGAGGGGAGAGGAGCATGACCCAAGGCTCTGCTCCCGATCAAGTTTACGTGTGCGTCCTGCACAAAGGCAACCGCTCACACTTGACACGGGAGGCCCCAGGGGAAGTGGAAATGGTGCAGGCACACAGGAGGAAGCTCCACAAGCAGCTCAACATTCCAGTTAAGGAAACAGATTCCAGAAAAGTCAGGGTTGGCCTCTGCTCTCCTTCCTACCCAGCTCAGGGTCCAGAGCCCAGCATCAGGGGCCACCTGTGCCCAGAGGCATGAGCCCTCGGTCTGCAGTGCCTGGGGCTCAAAGGTTCCTGTATATCAGTGGCTCACTAAGCACCCCATGAACATCATCACCTCACCATATCCGTGTGTGGAAGGTACCACTGATGGCTCCGTTTTACTTCAAGGGCATCCCGTAATGGGTGGTGTGGCTGAGAAGAAATCCCCACAGTTCCAGCTCCCAGTGTCTGGGACCCTCCCACCCCCCCACCACCAATATGCTATTTTGGTGCAGTGCAGAGATATCTACCAGCCAAACACATAATCCACTGGCTCCAGGGATTGGAGGAAAGATCCAGGGAACGGCATAACACATAACGACCAGAACAACATAACGGACCAACACAGGAACTTTGTCTCTGGCTTCAGAACTGGCACCAGTGAGTGAGTCTCCCAAGAAACTATCCCTGGGATGAGCATGTTTGTATCGGAAACTGGTCTGGCCACGTCCAGCCCCCGGGTAGGAGATGGATGCCATCAACAGGTGCTGGTTTCTGCCTTTATTTGTGTGTTTCCGAAAGGAACAAGGGCAGACTCTGTTACCTTCTTTGCTGCCACTCGACTCTGTTTTTCCTAATTCCCTCTCCTCCCCCCAGGTCCCCTTACCCCTGTGGGGCTCAAATAAATAAGCGGGGCACCTGGAAGGGCAGGCGGGTAAGTACCAGGTCCCTCAACTCCTACGTCCCACACTGGGGCACTTTGCCTTCAGTCCTCCAGCGGGCACGTAAGGGCTTAGGGCACAGAAAAGCGTGTATCTCACACCAGATGAGACTCTGATTCATGGGTGCTGGGGAAGAATGTGGAAGAGGAGCAAAATCAATCACAGATCATCCAATACTGGTGTTTGGGAAGGCTGAACTCAGGGCTAACAAAAGGACTCCGGGACAGGCTCCAGACTTACCCAGGGGGCTGAGGAGAGGGGGCAGCAGACAGATTTGGCTGAGTGACCCCGCAGAGTCACCGTAAAGGCGAGGAAGACTGTGGAGGGTGGGGGACATGCACGCACCCCTCCCTCCCCTACACAGCCAGAGCTGATGGCCGCAGCCCCTTCCAGTGGACATGGGTAGAAAGGCCCTACAGGGCAGGGGACCCTCTGAAGTGGCCCTGCTTCCATCCCTTCCACCTTCAAAGTGCATTATCAGTGCAAGAAGTAGGGCTGGATTTCAGGGGGTCCAACTCCGAGAAAGGGCTGTGCCAGCCAGCTCCCCCCATCTCCTCCTGCTTCCCCCTTGCCCGCCCCCAACCCTTTTCGTGTTAAGACCAGAACTCTTGCTGAATCTCATAAGGGGCGGGCCTGTGTGTGTTCAGTTCGGCTCTGCACAGCGGCACGGTGCTGTCCTGACTCTGGCCCTCTGCGTCCAGGTCCAGAAGCGTCCGCTCAGCAGGGGGCAGCGGCCCTGCTTGGAACGGGAGCAGGGCCGGGAGTCCGGGCCGCTCATCCACAGTGCTGCTGCTGCTAGCGAAGCAGGAGTCCAGGTTGCTAGGTGTCTCCGTGCTGGAGCTGTTGGCTGGGGAGGCGCTACGGGCATGGCTGGGGGACACAAACCACCAAGGGTCCAGCCGTTGCCGGTTGGCAGAAGGACGTGGCCGAGGCAGAAACTCCAGGGTCTTGGGTCTCTCCAGGGTAGAATCCTGCTGTGTGTTCCAGCGCCTTGGGGTCGGGGGAAAGACCACATTGGGGTCAGGGAGACGGGGGAATTCACCTGGGTCTCGGCTGGGGCTGGGGGTTTTCAACATTCCTGGGCAAAGAGACAGAGGGAGAGGCATCAGGTGATGGCACACATTTCTTTTTTTTTTTTTTTTTAATTTTTTTTTTCAACGTTTATTTATTTTTGGGACAGAGAGAGAGCATGAACGGGGGAGGGGCAGAGAGAGAGGGAGACAGAGAATCGGAAACAGGCTCCAGGCTCTGAGCCATCAGCCCAGAGCCTGACGCGGAGCTCGAACTCACGGACCGCGAGATAGTGACCTGGTTGAAGTCGGACGCTTAACCGACTGCGCCACCCAGGCGCCCCTGACGGCACACATTTCTAGGCCAGATAGACACTGCTCCCTCCCCATACCTGCCACATCCCTATTCACCTGGAATAACACGAGCAACAAATATTTAAGCAGCACCTACTATGTGCAGCGGAGTGTGCCGGGAGGCACTGGGGATACAACAGTGAACTAGAAGGCCATGATCACTGTCTCCGATGATAAAATAAGAAGAGGACATACGGGGGTCACATCCGTAATGAAAAACCTACGATCCATGGGCCACCCTGTGGTCTGAAAAACAAGTTTTATTGTAACACAGCCGCACCTACGGCTTGTTCTCCCACGACAGCAGCAGTGTTGAGTAATTACAATGGAGACCATACGACCCCAAAAGCTTAAAATATTTACTATCTGGCCCTTTACCGAGAAAGTTTGCTGGCCCCTGACGTAAGGAAGTGTCTGTTTATTTCCAGTTCATCCATTTAATAAACATGTGAGGCCAGAACAAATCTAGGTCTCAAAAATCTGAAGATGAGTCATAAGGTCTCTTCCCAAAGAGGACACAGACCTGAGTACAACAAAAAATCTAAAGCCGAAAGGGAAAATACAATTGTCATTTACACTCAAAATCTCCCTGAAATCCCAGTCGCCATCTCCTCTCCTACTGGGTGAGAGGGGTTGCAAAGTCAGGTTTCGGTCTTCTAGGGAGCAAGTGACAGTGGCAGGAAAAGACAGGGATATGGACACCCAGGTGGCTCAGCGTCAGGGAAGGCGAGCTCATGCACAGGCACAGGAATGTATCTGGATTTGGAGTCAGGCATGAACAAGGGATGAGCGATACAGGCAGGATGCATGGGAGGAAGCTTGCCCACGAGTAGGTCTGTACTAAGCTGTAATCACAGGCAAGAGCCCAGCTATGTGGCACAAATACCCCTCCTGTATGAGTGTAGCATTCCTTCTGGTAACTTTTGTCTCCACTTCAGGGAACGAGCACAGCTCGGCTCCTGCCCCTCCTATGCCCTGAAGGCACTGCACTGTGCCCTCCAAGACCCAGGGCCTGAACATCCTACAGGAGCCCTGGGTCCGATTCTTCCCAGAACCTGCGGTCTGCCTTCACTCCTCAGGGAAGCCCCCTGCCGAGGCACAGGACAGAGAGAAATCAGTCGGCCTGGCCATCTCTCCAACCCCAGGGCAGCTCGTCCTGGTGGGCCGAGTCAGAGGAGGAACTGTCATTCTAATTTTGCCATTCACTCCAATCTTGCCACATCCGGGAGGCCCAAGAGCAGGAAAGAGAAAAGGAGGACGGGACTCACCTGTTCCTGGGCTGGGGCTCAACCCATTGCTGGAGGGGCTCCTGCTGGCTAGGAGAGCCGCTGGCTTGAGGGCCCCATCAGAAGGAGTCCGCCGGTGACCACTGGGCTGCGTGGGGGCCGTAAGGGTGACATGGGTAGGAGTCAGGGATTGGTTAGGGTCTCGCTTGAAGCGTTCCACTCGGACATTGACCAGGGGGTTGTGGGTGCAAGGGGTCAGGGGTGGGGCTTCAACCGGACTGATGGGCATCTCGTACACCACGATCTCGTCACTGTCGGAACGCAGCAGGGAGCGGGTGGAGTTGCACTCCGAGATGGAGGAGAGAGAAAGCAGCGTGAGGGAGGCAGAGGGGTCTCCTAGCAACAGCATGGGCTCCTCCTTCTTGAAGAGCTTCCGGGATGGGGGGCTGGTGCTCCGACGAGGACGGCTGGCCCTCTGGAAAAGACCCTCACGCCTCTTCTTCTCCTCCCGGGCTGGTGGCTCAGGCTCCTCTGGGGGAAGCAGCTGGCACTTGCCAGCTTCAAGCAGGTCAAAGCCCAGGCCTGTGGCCGCGAGAACAGCCCCACAGCCAAGCAGAGCCACCTCACAACGGCGGTGGTGGGTGCCACCCCGCTTGAGGCTGTTAGTTGGCGTCAGCTGAGGGGTACTGTTGGCTGAATTGACTGGGGTGGGCTCCTCGTGGACTCCATCACTGGAGGGGCCCTCCCCATCCTCTCCGCGAGGGAACGGGATACAGAGGTAGGACTGGTTGGGTGAATGCTGTAGACGACTCTCTCCACTCCTGGGACCTTCGCTGTCCTCATCCTCTGGAGACGACAAAAATGGCAGGGTGTGGGGGACAGGAAATGGGAATGAGGCAGCAAGAGTAAGAATCTCACCCTTCTCCCCAACCCTGGGCCTCCTGGTGGATTTTCAGGAGTGCAAGGGTCAAACAGTCTCACAGGCAGGATAAGGACTGGGCATTGAACCCACAGGGCTTTACCCCTCCACGCTCAACCGTGGCCAGTATGAGGCAATCACTCTCCATTCCAGAGCCTATTTTCCTGTGTGCAGACAAATCTGCTAATTTCCTACTTCTTGCATTGGGATCCTCAACACAAGAGGTACAGTGTGTGAGTTTCCTAGAATAGTGGGTAGAACAGAAACATCCCTAATGTTTTTGCACCTTAAAACTGGAAGGGACCTTGAATTTCTACAACAATGGCCTAGAGGCCGGTCTCAAGACCAGTGTCCCGCAACGGACTGGAATCCTCTACATGGGTTAAGGCCCATCAATGCTGTAGACTGACCTACTAAGACTTGGAAATCTTCAGAGAGAAGAGGACATCCTATCTGAGAGAGAGAGGGAGCCTGGAGAAGACCTTACCCATTCAGCAATCACAGGCAACTGGAAAGCTTCCTTAGAGAAAGACCACAGTGTCTTCCACCACCATCTCCTGTCTTGCAGACTCCCCACGTTAAAATACAAAGAGACCCAAGCAGATGGAAGCGCCTGATTCAAGTCCTCACCCTCTGCACTGCCCTTAGGAGACTACAACCGGCGCCCTGGGATAGGAGGCCAAGGGCAGGCTCCATGGCAGCAGTGGGAACAAACTGTGATTTGGGAAGGTTTGATGCAATGGGAGTAGAGCCAATGAAGAGGGAATAGGGTGAGGGCCCAGGAGTTGGGTCAAAGAGGAGACAATCCCCATGAGGTGGTACTAGGAGTCCTCAAACACTCCCAGAAGCTTGGCCAGAAGTTCCCTGAGGGAACAGGGACAGTCAGGACAAGGGCCATGCTTACCCATCTCCATAAGGCTGGTGAACCCTGGCAGGGCTGGGCTACTCCTCGGGCCCTTCCCCAGGTTGGGGGCACTGGACGACCACTGTTTATATCCATCTACCAGGGACTTGAGGCTAAATAGGAGGAAATGGGGGAACTGTTAGAACTGGTGACTTCCCTTACTCCACCCTCACCTCCAGGGGCCCATGGAAACGTCTCTTTCTGTGTGCTTAATTCCACCAAAAGCCCAAGAGCCTCGGGGTAACGAACATTACTGGGTCCCCTCGTGTCACAAACAGAAGTGCACATGCTCCAGGAAAAGAAAAGCAGGGCCATGAACCCACCCCTTCACATGCTGCTACGGAGCTGTGGAAAGATCTAGCAGGCAGGCCGGCAAGAAGACAGGAAGAATGAGGACTGCCCAGCACTGGCCAGGGTCTTGCCTGAGCCCACCTTAAGGCAGAGACGATCACTCCAGGACACTGTGTCCAGCACACTGCTGACATCAGAGACACTGCAATTCGAAGCCTTGTGATCCCAGGCGAGCCCTGGGCAGATGAGCTAGCAGGGATGGGCCATTTCTCAACTTCTCCTTCCAAGCTCACGGCATGCTTAGGCAACTTTCCAAGCCACTTTTCAAAAACAAAAATCAGCCAACAAAGCTGCACCAAAGCAGTGCACTTGGGGACAGACCTATGTGGGTAGTACATAATGCAGCACTCGAGCCCCTGGTTTGTCTGGGAATGAAGAGGAAAAGGGCAGGAGCTTGCTATCAAGTCCCTGTGATGAGCTCACACCTGCCAGCCAGTAACTCTGAGGATCCTGACGGGGCACCCCATCAACCCCCTTTACGATGGGGGAATCAGAGGCCCAGAAGCACTGGTCTTTTCTCTAATGGACAACGAAGAGAGAAGGCTGAGGACTCCGTGGGTTATGGCTGCCTTGGACATACCAGGATTATAACCAGAGGTGGCTCTCATTTTAGGGCCAGGAAAAGCTGTTCAGCTAAAGCCCACTCTTCCCGGTCCATCTCGAGGGAGAGAGAGGGACCAACTTTTCCCCTCACTTCAGATCTCTATTTCAAGTGCTGTCCGAAACACCAGTGAATTCAAGTATATTCCGGCCACCATTGGTTTCAACCAAAATACACAGCCAGGGACAAGCATGCTAACCAAACCCACAGCCTGGGACTTTTAGCTGATGATCTTATAACATCAACTCCAGCTCTGAGTTCAAGGGGAATCCAGATTAGCAAAGTCAAAGCCAGTGCTAAAGTTCAAAGCATAAACAGTCATGTACTGCCCCCTAAAACTAAGGGTGCCAGGAGAATCCCCACAACAGGAATGGTCAGAGAAGTGAGGAGAGGGAAAGTCAGACCAACACAGGAATTTCCCAGGGTGCACGATGGTACGGCTTTAAAGGAAAAAAATCAGCATAGCCTTGGCAATAATGAGGTTTGATTCTACCGGATGTGCTGTGAGGACAAGGAAATGGAAGGGGACTATTACGAACGCATTTGATGAAAGGGTGAAGATTAGACTCACCCCAGGTGGAAATGTGGAGACTCTGATGGGGTACTTAAACCATTAGCTTTCTCACGTCTCTGAGGGGATCTTCAATGAATAAAGAAAATCAGTAGTAGGCGACAGTGGGTACATCCAATTCAGTATCTCCCACATGGGAGCCCTCAAGGCTTGACTCTAGCTACATTGGTAGCTGCCCTCCTCTGGCCCGGTAAGCAAAGCCCACGCGATGAAGGGATCCTAACAAGGAGACCCAGGACCTCCCAATCTGTGGGACAAAGGTCCTTGAGCAGCCACAGCATAACTGCAGAGGTCGCGTGAACCCACAGATACCCAAGCTATCTACAAGCAAGTGCATGTGTTTCCTATAGATATGTACTCGTTTTTTTTTTTTTTTTAATTTTTTTGTTAACGTTCATTTATTTTTGAGACAGAGACAGAGCATGAACGGGGGAGGGTCAGAGAGAGAGGGAGACACAGAATCGGAAGCAGGCTCCAGGCTCTGAGCCATCAGCCCAGAGCCGGACGCGGGGCTCGAACTCACGGACCGTGAGATCGTGACCTGAGCTGAAGTCGGACGCTTAACCGACTGAGCCACCCAGGCGCCCCTGTACTCGTTTTTTAAAGGATGTATATTCACTTAATATTACTGAATTCAATACAGCTTTTTGTTGTTAGGGATTATTTTCTTCCGTTGATAGGGGCCAAAATTAGAAATATTATCACACAGAGGCTCCCAAAATTTCTGACGTTAAAGAAGCCTTTACTCGAGAATGAACAGAATATACTTTATTTCTTCAACAGGAATTGAGAATCATAAAAAATTCAAGTCATATTTTGGGGCGCCTGGGTGGCTCAGTCAGTTAAGTGTCCGACTCTTGATTTTGGCTCAGGTCATGATCTCACAGTTTTTGAGTTCGAGTCCCACAATGGGCTCTATGCTGATAGTGCAGAGCCTGCTTGGGATTCTGTCTCTCCTTCTCTCTGCCCCTCCCCTCCCCCACCTCTATGAACTGCTTCAATAGTTTTGAGGACAAATCTATGCAAGGAGGAAGAAAATTCAAAGTTAATATTTTGAAACATGAACCAAAGTTAATTTACTAAACAAGACGAAAAACATCTATAAATGAAGCAGAACCAGAGAAGCTACTGAAATGTCAGAAACATCCAGGGATTCAGCGTGACTGACTTTCAGACCCATCCTAACCCTACTCTACCCCAGGGCTCGAAGGAATCCAAACTGAGGGAGATCCTGCCTCTACAGGACCTAGCACAGCAGAGCAATTCACCATTCCTAGAGGACCATCATCGAGCCCTCACAGAGCTCAGGCCGTTCACCCGATGTGCCTAAATTTTCTATTCCAAGGTATTTGTGATTTCTAAAGCCTGGCTTTGGAGTCAATCCTTTTTGAATCAAATTGCTATTTTCGTTCTCAGCTCAGATCTGACACGAGAGAACAGATTTTGGACATGAAATCTTCTTAGTATTCGAAGGAATACCAAGGCCACTTACAGGTTCGGGCACAAGTTCAGGAAAGTCTCTGAAAAGGGCGAAGGGGATCACTGCCTATTCTCACAGGCTCAGAAAAGTCAAAAAACAGGATTCTAGCCTCTAACACCAAGAAGAAAGTACGAAATAGAAAATGCACCAGGAGCAGGGAAGAACCATCCCAGCAGGTATTACAAATGCTTCCTATGAGCCCACTAATCTTGTATGCACTTCCCAAAATGGACTTATTTAATCCTCACATCAACCCCAGGAGATGGGTACTGGTATAACTGCCGATTTACAGATGAGGAAACACGAGGCCACACGGTGAGGCATGGCGGAGCCAGGATTCACGCCCAGGCAGCCTGGGGTCAGGGGTTATGTTCGCCACCACTACACGGTGAGCACCTGGTCTACGAAGAACCGGGACTTGAGAGAATTTAACTTGTAAGAACACAAGCACATCCAGGGCACGAAGCCGGGTCCCCTGCTTCGCTCAGAGGACGCGCTCACACCTGTCCGTGTAGCAACGAGGTGGGGCTTAAGAGAAGCTCCGGTTGGCCCTGGGGTCACATCTGAGTGTACTCGCTACCAGGGCTGGGTCATTCCACCTGCCCTTGCTTCGGGATAAGCCTCCAAGTCAAGAGAGGCCTGTAAGCCTTGCTCTTCCTTCTCTTGGCTCTGAGCGGATGTTTTAAGGGAAGAGCCGGGTACAAGTAGGACACCTGGCTGAACTCATCACATTTGGTTCATGCTTAATGTACCTGCAACTCTGAGTCAGACCCCTATAGGTGTCGGCAAACTACAACGAGGGGGCTAAATCCTGTCCACCACCTACCTTCGTAAAGTTTTACTGAATCAACATAGCCACGCTCATTCATTTACAAAGTGCCCATCGTCTATGGCTGCCTTTGCACTACAACACAGGAGGTGAGTAATTGCAAAAGAGAGGATGTGACCCACAAAGCCTAAAATATTTATTATCTGACCCTTTACAGAAAACGTATGCTGAGCCCTGTCCTAGGAGGTTCAGGAAATGAGGACGTTGGAAAACTGAAGCTTGTAATTTCTCAGAAAGCAATGAAACACAACAGAGGAGAAGGTGTTTCATATCATAGTTTTAAAAGGGTATACCCATCTTTAAGTGGAAAGAACCTCTTACATTCTGGCTCTTACCCTTCGTCTCCCGAGGCAAGCTCCTTCTGACCAAGTGTACTTGGCCCCCACGTCCGTCCTTTCTTCTTGGGGGCCCTCTTCTCCTCCTCCTCCCCTTCTTCTTTGGGGACGACTGAGTTCCGGCCCCAGGTTTTGCTGCTTTCACCTGGTGTCACTGTGAATAACAAAAGTTGGATGGGATCTGGAAAGAAAGATAGACAGCCACCCCCCCCCAAAACTAGCCTCTACCTCACCAGACAGACACAGACACATGCGCACGTGGACACACACGCACGGAGTTACAGGGAAGAAGTCACACCTCCTCAAAAACTCTGTGCCCAAGTGGAGCCTTCAAGTCCTCAGCCAAAAATCACTGAGCACTCGCAAAGTACCAAACATGGAAAAACTGCCCAGATTCTCGTAAGTCCAGTGCAAAGCTGGAGCTCAGGCCAGCCAGACGGCAGAGTTCCAAACAGATCTGACTTAAAGAACTTGGTTTTGTTGGGTGGGACTGGACGGGGAGGGGCAGTGGGTGAGGAGTTAGGAAGGAGAGAAAAAATATAAGGGGGGGGGAGGAAGACTTGGAAGTGCAGAAAGGAATTGTAGGTAAGAAAGGAAGATAATGAGGAACTCAAGACTACGGAGAAGGAAGTCAGGAGTAGGAGAAGGGGAGGGAACAGGCCTAGAGAAATATACTAGATAAGAGAGGAGGAACATTCTTCTGACATTGCTACCTTATTAACAAGGGCTGAAACCCAAATGCTTCAGAGGCTTACATCATACATGAGTGAATGATTCCAGACACCAAAAAATAGGGAGCTGAGGGGACTGAGGCAAAATACGGTGCATAAGGAAACTGCCATTGGTTCTAGCCAACTGCGGCCACGTGAGAAAGGGAATCCACTGATACGAACCGATTTTTCAAGGATAGCCAGAAATCTAGGGCTTTTAAAAAAATGAAATCTCTATCTTTAAGTTAGGGGAACTACTTTGTTCACGTACACACACACACACACGTGTGTGTGTATAAATTCTTTTCAGTAAACACAGTGGTGAAAATAAAATCGGTCCCAATTTGGCCTATCACAAAGTCTTTGGCGAGTTTTCTTAGGAACTACACTTTGAAAACACCCTTCCCTGGGAAGCATGAACAAAAGAAAAACAGTGATGCCCCAAACATGGCGGAGAGTGCACAAGGTCCGTAGGCCAGGGTACCAAGCAACCCAGGCCAAGTACCAGGGTATCTATATCACACACCAGTTTCCAAATTGCTTTGTAGTTCACTAAGGATCCCGTCGATACCCACAACCCCCTTTGCTGGGATCTGAGAGTAAAAGGTAGAGGAGGCAGTAGTAAAGCTAATGGAGAGAGACAAGAAGGAGGGCTACGGGTTTGCGTACATATGTGCATGTATATACACATTGTCGAGGAGAGGTGGCAGAAGTTATGGATGGAGCAAGCCTGGGCCAGTCGGTGGCTGGACAGAGCAGGGGACAGGTGCCCCCGGTGTGTTCTGGCCCCAGCTAATTTGGGAAACAGTCTCACACTGGATGGCTCGAAGGCGAGGAATGATGGTGGGGCTCGCAGGAGGACTGGAGCGGCTGTTGGTGAGACTCTTCCTTTTATCCATGGTGGGGGAGGCCTGAACCGTGAACTTGTGCTGGAAATCTGCTTGGGGAAACACAGACATGTGTGTGCATTAGCATTTTCCCATACTCTAGTTCCTATGAGAAAAGTGAATGCATCCCCGCTAGACGCATTTTCCCATAATCTAGTTCCTATGAGAAAAGTGACATGTCCTGGGCTTGAGGGACAGGCCCCAGTTTCCCAAGAAGCAACTTGTTCACCTAGGAAATGTTCTCTTTCTCCCCAAAGAAGGCAGGGCAGCAGGACCAACATACGAGGAGAAGGAAAATTCACTGTCTAAGCGAATCTTATATATACAGATTTACAATAGTTGTTTAAGACATGAGACTTGTTGCGTATTCTAGGAAATCTAACTTAAAATTCTTTTTCTTGGGGTGCCCGGGTGGCTCAGTCGATTAAGTGTCCCACTCTTGATTTCAGCTCAAAATAAATAAAAACAATTCTCTCAAAATTCTCTCTCAAAATAAATAAAAACAATTCTGCTTCTTACAATCTATTAGTACATGTCCCCTTTTCTTAGGGACCAAAGCAGGGAGACTGATGTTTCTCATTGAGTGCAGGCAGGGCAGAGTAATTAGGACTAATCCTTGGTGGGAGCCTAGGAAAGTAAGGGCAATGGGGCTAATGGTCCAGACTGTGACGTCTTCCAGAGGCAGTTACGGCAGAGCATGAAGAACGTAAAACTCGCAGCTCTGGATTTCTAAGTTCCAGTGTCCTCATGTATCGAGAAGCGTGAACAGCTGAGTGTTCACACCTAGGTCTCCCCACTAGATGCAGTGTCCCAGAAGGTGGGAGCTACTGTTTTCCTATGAGCCTTTCCCAGCACACGGCAGCAGCGTGGCACCACACGCAACACGTTCGAGAGGGACTCAAAGACTCCCTGTTGCCTGGCCAGAAAAAATGTGCAACAGGGACACCAGTAAACATGTCCCACAAACAAAGTCACGGAATTTCACTGAATGGATTCCCTTGTCTGTACTGAAGCCACCAGTGCTTGCAATCATCGGCTATTGTTCCTATTCCGCCCTTTTCCCTTGGTTCCTTACACTTCTATAGGTTTGCTTCCCAGACCTGATAAACTTAGACTACAACGAAGTTTTTTTCATCTACATAAACACACACTCACCTCCCTCCACGGGTACACTACACCCCACAAAGATTCTACTTCACAGATTCCTTTTCCTTTGCATTTCCCCAAGCCTGGACGTACTCCAGATGTGCCTTTATTCACCCAATGTGCTTCTGAAAGGTTGTGCATAAATCAAATTCTTACACAGTAATCCCGATCTCCACTGCTCGCACACAACTAATTATTTAAAGAAAGCCAGAGATAAGTTATTCTGCTCTCTCGTCTCTGGCATACGCATGCCCTGGAATCTGCCCCTGCAGCTCTGGGCCTCCTCACCGGGCTTGCCTCATGTGAGACGTGTCTATGTGAGCCACCACGCGACTGTCAGTCTGGACCGTGCCCGCCTGTCAGGTCCACCAGCCACCAGTCGGTCTTCCTTCACACCCTGTGTTCAGTCACCCTCAAAAACTCCCCCGGAGCCGGGTAGCTTCTCCGCAGGCCAGTCTTTCCGGTGAGCGGAACGGGCCACGTCCAACCTGCTCCGTTCTGAGCCCCAGAGCCCCGTCCCCGGCCGCCCCCCCCCCCCCGGGGCCCCTGCAGCAGGCTGCCCTGCTCCCTACCCCCCCAGCCGCCCCCAGCCCCGCCGCTGACCGGAAGGAAGGCTGATGCGGTTCCCATCCTTGAGCTTCAGCCGGCTCTTCCTGAACTTGCCCTTGCGTTTCTTCACCCGGGGCTTCTCCTGGCACAGCTGGTGGATGATGATGTTGAGCTCCCGCTCTAGGATGTCGATCTCCCGCTCGGCCAGCTCCTGCTCGCGGCGCCGCAGCAGCTCCTCCTGCGTCTTCTGCTGGAGCGCGGCCCGCGTCAGCTCCTCCTCCCAGGTGCGGAGCTCCTACAGCGGCAGACGCAGCGGGGAGAAGACGGGGCGTTCAGTGCAGGGGTGGAGGCCGAGGGCCCCCGAGGGCCAGTGCTTCCCGGAAACCTGGACAGCGCTCCTGTGATGCCCATACCCCCGGTCCCAGGAGGAGATGCAGGCCTCACAGGTAGCTGGTAAATGGACACCTGACCACACCAGACGCTGGGGACAGGAAGGCTGGGCACGGCCACACTGAGGACACGGCTACCGCAGCCCTGGAGACAGGGGCTGGTAGTTCCCAGGTGCTCCCTGATTACTGATAAAAATTGCCTGTGATTGGAAAAAAATGGGGGGGGGGGTTGGGTAGAAAATATAATCCTGTCCTTAAATTTTACAGACTTGGGGAGCGCCTGGGTGGCTCTGTCGGTTAAGCATCCGACTTCGGCTCAGGTCATGATCTCACAGTCCGTGAGTTCGAGCCCCGCATCAGGCTCTGTGCTGACAGCTTGGAGCCTGCTTCAGATTCTGTGTCTCCCTCTCTCTCTGCCCCTCCCTCCCCTGCTCATGCTCTCTCTCTCTCTCTCTGTCTCAAAAATAAATAAAAACATTAAAAAAAATTCACAGACTTGGTTCTATTTTAATTTTTTTCCCCATTATATAAGGGACGTTTCTTAAACTGGAGCCAACTAAATGTGATCTAGCTTAAAATGTGCCCCCCCTAGAAATGAATCACCCTCCAGGCATCACCTAACACTCAAATAAAAATATATTTCCAGAGTGATTGTTCAAAAAAGGGAGTCTTCTAAACCTCTGTTCAGTTGGTGAGTGACTCTACTGAGGCATGTGGTTTGAACTCTCCTCTTATCTCAAAGGACAACCATTTGCTGTGGAAGGACCACGACAGCACAGCAAAGAGAAGAGAAAACATTTCCCAAAGTCTTCTGGGCGCTTGCTCTAGTAGATGGGCAAGCCTCTTGCCTGTTTCCCCTTTTTCCTTCTGCATGAATTTATGAAGTTCCTGAGATGGGGGGTGGGGGGGAAGGGGAGGTGGTATTAGGTATTAGGAGAGGAAACAGGAATGAGAACAGAACATGTACATACAATTGTCAAATCTGGCATCTAAACTGTTAGCACTGGTTACCCAGGGCGTAAGACTGAAGTGAGGGGGCATGATGTAGTCAAACCTAAAAAAAAAAAATGGGCATTTCTTCAATAAAGTAGTCAGAGCAACACTTCTGTGGTCGAAAGCTACAATTTCTCCATGGAATGCTCCACTATAAGAAGTCATTCTGGGGGCGCCTGGGTGGCGCAGTCGGTTAAGCGTCCGACTTCAGCCAGGTCACGATCTCGCGGTCCGTGAGTTCGAGCCCCGCGTCAGGCTCTGGGCTGATGGCTCAGAGCCTGGAGCCTGTTTCCGATTCTGTGTCTCCCTCTCTCTCTGCCCCTCGCCCGTTCATGCTCTGTCTCTCTCTGTCCCAAAAATAAATAAACGTTGAAAAAAAAAAAAAAAGAAGTCATTCTGGACTGTAGAAAGGGAGCCTAGAGCTAGGAAAAAAGTTTGTGAACACATATTGGCAAAGCTGAGCAGTGGGTAGAGAACAAAGAGAGAACAGAGACCTGAGGGGAATAAAATATTCTGACATTTAGGAACTTTCACTCAACTTGCCCTCTACTCTCAAGAGAGTACCAAAATTGATAATAAATGTTATAGAAAAGGCAGAAGTGAGAAAAGGATTAGCACCTTGAAAACTGTCTTGTACATGATAGGTGCTCAGTGTCAACGCGTGAATGAGACAGGAGGGGGAGACAGAATTCGATTTTATAAATACACGCCTTTACGGGAACCCAGATTCATCCAAAGTGTCTGAGAGATGAGCCTGAACTTTTGGACTTCTTCTCTAATGAAATAAGCAACTGTCGTATGCTCCCCCCAAAACCTTGGCTCTCCTTATCCTGGTACTTTGTTTTCATCATTAGGAGAACACACACACACAGAAGATTGAGAAAAGTCATTCCTGGTTGGTTGATTTTGCTGCTAGATGGGAAAGTTAAAAATTTCAAGCTGATTTCAGCTTTCCTAAGTCATCTTCTCCTGTGCGCTCTTGTCTAGGGGATGGTTTGTGTTGTAGCCCCCTCTTTTGTGGGAAGTCAGACCCCAGTCCAGAGACAAATCCATTGTCACTATATGTGGAAGCTGTCAAGTTGAGACACGCTGAGAATGAGCTGAATCATATGGGAAACCAGGACATTTGTGGAGTACTTGCCAATGGCACCATATATCTGGAAGACTCAAACGTGAGTCTCCTGCTTGGGAAACGCCTATTTGGGGATCAGTCTTCTAGTATGCAAATCACATTATCTGCATACAATGATTTAGTAGGAATCTCTCCAGAGAGAAAGCTCATTATCCATCTCGCCCTCACTTGTCCAACTACAAGCCTTATAATGGACAGGCATCATAGCAAGGGCTCTGGGGGCACCTGAGTGGCTCAGTCGGTTAAGCATCTGACTCTTGACTTGGGCTCCGGTTATGTTCTCACGGTTCTTAAGTTGGAGCCCCGCGTCGGGCTCTGCACTGACAGTGCGGAGCCTACTTGGGATTCTGTCTCCCCCTCTCTCTCTGCCCCTTCCCCACTTGTGGACATGCTCTCTTTCTCTCTCAAAATAAACTTGAAAAAGAAAAAAGAGCAAGGACTCTGGAACAAACTGGCTGAATAGTGGCCTGGAGTGAATTACCATGGGCATCATATGCAATATGGAGTTAACAGCACTGACAGCACATGGTACGTAAGACAATTATTATCTTATTGTGTAAGATTACATAAGAATTCATATTAATTACTTAGAGCATGGCACAGGGAACATGCTCTACGAATGTTAGCTGTTATGAGAATGGGTTTGGCTTTTCCTAGTAACTATTTACTGACAAAATCCAAGTTTCATTCTTCTTAGTGGCTAGTACCCTTATAATTTCATCAATCAAAAGAAAGAAAACCAAGAGTCAAATGATTCAACAGTCTAAAAAGAACCAGCAACTCTAGGTTTCTTCTAGTTGGAATAGCATTAGTAACAGGAACAAACTCGATTAATTACTCTGCTCCAAGGTCAGTGTCGGATTCCCCCCACCCCCCAGGTCACAAAAGATGTCATAGACTCACTCCATTCCCCTGCAGAATGCTCACTGACTTGCCAAATACTACCAGGTTTAGGACTGCTATATGGCATTAAAAAAAAAAAAAAAAAAAAAAGAGTTTAATTTCTTCACATCAGCTCCAGAAATGATTTTTAAGTCATTTGTTTAGGGAAACAACAATGATATTGGAGAGAAAAAGGTTTTGGAATCAGAAGATCCAGGTTCAAGATTCTGCCTCTCACTATACTGGCTGTGTGACTTTAGACAAGTCACTGACCCTCAGCCTTGAGATGAAAAAGGTAATACCTGCCCTACATGCTGGGGGCAAGGGCCATAACCCCCCCACCCCCAAGATAAAAATGATACAAGGTTCTTTTATCATCAGACATTTCAAGTGAAAGAACTTGAAAGACATACACAATTTTAGCTACTGTTATTATATTAAATTGCTTCCCAAATGCCCATAATGGGGAATGAGAAGGGAAAACAGAAATTAACCAAGAGACACATGGACGCCGCTTATGCCCACAGCTATAGCCCTTAGGTCCAGCCTGGCCCCTGTAGTAGAAGCAACATAGGTGCTGGTGTTAAGCTTCACCTCTGTGGATACTGGCTGCCCACCAGGCATGAAGGGCAAAGAGAGGAGCCACATAGGGAATGGACACCAAAACAAAAAGGTAGATTTTTAGTAAGCTAAGAATATCTGAACTCCTCAGTCAGTTTGGGCTTGAGCCCTTTTCATAAAAACACGCAGAATACCAAACAGTTTCAGAACCATAGTATTTTTAGCCCATCGCTATTTCTGATTCTGATACCTGTGCTCAGTGTTGAAGTATCCCTGTAACAAGTTAACCCCTCACCCCCAGAAGTCCACTACAGAACCAAGAAACATTTCTAGAGCTTTCTCATACTTTCTGCTGGTACTTACCCAGTGGTGCTCTTCCTCTGGTTTGGACAATGAAATAGATACTCTGTAAGAAGAGCTTTGGATCATGACTCCCCTACTTGTTCCTGCCATATCCCGGAAAGAAAGAAAACGTCTATACTATTTCAGGGCATACCTAAGGCCTGGAGAACTCTCTCCATGTAAAGCCGGGAAGAAAAAAGCTGCTCTGTTACCACAGACCAAGCAGGAAGGTGGTTGTGTCGGAATTTGTCCAGAGGCCCCAGTGGGGAAGGTCCACTGATTCAATGCATGGCTTTTTCTTGTTTTATTTACCTTTTCTTTGGCCCTGAGTTGGTCAAACATCTCCTGAATCTCATGTTTCCAGTCATCCTGCAGGCAGTGGAAGGAGTCCTTGGGCATTTCAAAGAAACCAGACTCCTCTATGGTAGTTAGCTGGTCCAGGATATTTGTGAAAGATGGTCGTGAGTGAGGGTCGGGATTCCAGCAGTCTGCACGGAACACGTGAGCGGACAGAAAGCATGAATGGACAGAGACAAGCGTTAAGACTTAGAATATTACAGGACCTCACTTACCAGAAGTAGTTTTCCCTCCAGAAACTGAAACACTGGGTAGGTAACCACAAATAGGGCTAGGGAAATAAAACAAGCTGCCCACCCTCAATATTATAAAGACTGAATGGGGAAATATAATGCGGCCGCCCCCATCTGACTCTGTTGAGTTAGCATAAGAAAAGCAAGTCCAGAGACTGCCTGCGTGACGTTCAACAGCCATGACTTCTCATGTTCCTACACGATTCCAGTCTTGACAGTGGGTAACGAGACTTGGGGCCTCAATCTTCCACAAATAAATGAGCCAGCCTTGCCCACCTCTAAGGGATGATGATAAGGCAAGGATAAAAGGCACCAGGCTGGGCAGCAGGAAAAGTGAACTCTACCTACTCTCAGCTCAGACACTAGCTAATGGAGTGCACCTCGCCTCTCTCAGCTTTGGGTTTCTCACTTAGGGTCTGACCAGATGACTTCTAGAGTTCCTTTCTTCTCTGATGTTCTTTGCTTCTAGATGTGTAATACGCTCATTTTTTATTAAGTAATAAAATGCTAAAGCCCTGGATAGCAGGCTTTAGTTACTGAGCCAAGCTCTACAGTCACTGTAGATGGACAGAAGGGACATCTGTGACATCAGCGAGGCAGGGTGTTGACATATCTTCAAGCAGGTCTTCCAACCACCCACAGGATTCCTCTGTGAGTGACCAATGCTTCACCTCCTCTTTCAGTAACCGACCCAGCAGGATTGTCTGCAACGTACCCAAGGGCTGCCGAAAGGTAAACTTTCTCCAGTTTTGTTCCAGCCAGGGGTCACTTACCTTCCATGAGTTTGGCAAAAGGTTCTGGGCACGTAGAAGGAATGGGAAGAGCGAGCTTGTTCATGGCCACTCCATAGGCTACGGCTAAGCCATCGATTCCTCGGAAGGGCACCTCGCCAGTCAGGAGCTCCCAAAGCAGCACCCCGTAGCTGAACAGGGGAAGAAGACAGAAGCCACAAGGCAGTCTCACCGACAGGGCTCATGAGACCTTTCTGAGCTGCCCGCACTCTTTCTGGGACGGAGGGACACCAACAAAGCAGATGCACCAATGGAATACAGACCGGGAGACCACGAGGCCAACCCACTAAAAGCAAAAGCTTTGGAGTCAGGCACACTTGATTTCGAAGGCTTGTTCCTCAGATTCCTCATCTGTAAAGTGCAAACAACACGGCCAGTCTCACAAGGCTGCCGTGAGATTCACTGAGCCACTCTAAGGGTTTAAATCCGTGCCGGCCAGCCACAGCTATTCTGCTGTTATCCATAACATAACACTCTGGAAGAAGAGGCAGCCTCCCAAGAATACATTTTTTGTCTGTTTTAAGAAAAGTTCAGCGTTAGCCACAGATATATTTCTTTGGTTTTAGAAAAGCAGAGACCTGACCACCTAGAACAGATTTTGCTCTTGTAACAGATTTCTTTAAATGCCCATTAGGTTGGATAGATTCCTGCCGCTGATCACTTAACAGAGACTCTGTCTAATTCAAAGGGGAAAGTTGCACAAGTGTGGCCAACATGGGGACAACAGAGCAGTGTGTCAGCTGTGAGGACTTCAGTTTCCTCTCCACCTTTCAAAGCCACATGAAGAATTTCTTTTCACATGTCCTGTGAGTCAGAGAATGGGGAGCACAGAATTTAGCAGAATAATTATTCTATGAATTCACAGTCAGAAAGAGGCAAAATCATGTAGGGTTCAATCCTTCCAGGAATAACAATCCTTTCAGGACAAGCACCATAAGGCCACGAACAGTAAAGAGTGGCTCTCCTCATATTTTTTTTTTTTTTTATAAAATTTTTTTTTTTCAACATTTATTTATTTTTGGGACAGAGAGAGACAGAGCATGAATGGGGGAGGGGCAGAGAGAGAGGGAGACACAGAATCAGAAACAGGCTCCAGGCTCTGAGCCATCAGCCCAGAGCCTGACGCGGGGCTCGAACTCACCGACCGCGAGATCGTGACCTGGTTGAAGTCGGACGCTTAACCCACTGTGCCACCCAGGCGCCCCTAACACAAGCCTCAAATTTTTAAAAATATTCACCGGTAGTTTATAACCAACAAAGTCATGTTATTTTCAAACAAAACATAGCTCAGGTGGGAAAGTGTGCGACTCTTGATCTCGGAGTCGTGAGTTCGAGCCCCACTCTGGGCATAGAGATTAATTGGAAAACAGCCTAATATTTCATCATGGTACTTTGTACGCACAAGATGCTAAGACCTTTATAAACATCATCTTAAATCCTTACCACGAACCTGCAAGATAAATATTATCACCATTTTGCAGATGAGGAAAGCGAGGTTCAGGTAAGTTTAGCAGCATATATTAAGGGCATACGTGGAATAAGTCATGGTGGGCCCTGGACCAACTCTCAATTTCTTCTCTCTAGAATCTCCTAGTACCATTTCTCTGCTTGGTGAACTATAATCGTCTTTCAAATTCAAATGCTCCCCCCTTTTTTCATTCGTTTTAAACATCTACTAAAGATTTATTGTGCATCAAGCTCACTGCAGGCCACTGGGATACAAGACACAGATCTTATCTACAAAGAGACTACCGAAAGGAACAGAAAAGATGTCAATTAGCATACAGAGTGGGTCACAACAGACATATTATGAGTGCACAAAGAGACAATGACGGGCCCCTGGCCACCTAAACCAGACCAGAATGGGTCCAGGAGACAGCTAAGCCCGGACTGCTAGGCAAAAGAAGACAGGGATCGGCATATACAAAGCCAAGGCTTGCCCTCAAAGAATCCCAGGTGACCTGGCATGGCTCCAAAGGAGAGCAATGTGCCAACCAATGCACCAGGGCATCCCAGAAGATCCCCGCAGACGGTCCTCCAGAGTGGCCTGGCCAGTCTCCTTGGACAACAGCGTTCCCCCCGTGCGTCCTCCAAATACATCACTTTCTTTATGTATCTCAACAACCACAAAAAGCCTGGTAGACAGTTACAGGTCTTGTCTTGACAGGGACTTGGCTTTTAGTCTGAGGCTGATGGCAACAATGGACACTTCAGGAAGCCTTCCCTGATGCTGCCAGTGTTACTTCACCCTTGTCTGGGCTGCCGTGGACTGTGGTTGTTTGTCTGCCAGCCAATGAGCCCTGCGAGAGCAGGGATGGTCGTTTAACCTTTGCTTTCTCAGGGCCTCGTACACAGTAGGCCTCGTCTAGTAAGTGAGCTGGTGGGAAGCACTGTGTGGATAGACAGTCCCGCAGGCTGCACTGGGCGCCCTGGAGTAAGCCCTGAATTCCCAGAATAGCACTGTTATTCTTCCTGCCAAATCTTTACTGTGACTCATCCAGACAGCAGTCGTGCTGGGCAGCTGCTACCAAGTGACCTCTAAGAACTGTCCGCACTGCGGACTAGACTCCTAGGCTACGGTGACCCTCAGCTTCAGTTGTCTGCTCCTGGCATCACTGGCAACCTCCACTCTGGGGAACAAAAACCCAAGGTCCCAAAGAACCCCTCTCCTGGTGTCTGAGCCCTAACTACCTGGAAAGACAGTAGAGGATTTCAAAGATCTAAACATGGGTCCTATTTGTGTCCTCGCATCTACTCTGTGACGCTTTTAGTGCTGAGTCCTAGGTGACCCATGGAGATGCCTCGGGCCACCTCAAAGAGGGTGGAGCCAGGGACTCCGTCTCTCTCAGTTTCGACGAGGGCAGCCCTGCTCTCACCTGGCTTGTTTCTTTGTTCCACCGCATTTTGTTCCATGTGAAATGCCCCACAACTAGGAGAAACGGGTCGAATGCTGCCCAAGGAAGATTCAGACAGACTTGAGTCAAATGTGTCTGCTTCGCCACTTAACAGTGGTGGGGCCGTGGGAAAGGAAGCTTACCTGTCCAAACCTCAGTTTCCTCACTTGTGCAACAAAGACAGCCAATTCCCACCGCACAGAGTAACTGCAAAGAATAAATAACAGTAACTACTGCTTCTCCGGAAGCTACCCTCTACAGCTAGTAAACAGTGTGTGCTTCCCCTTGGGAAGGTCCTGAAACAAGAAAGCCTCTGGTGGGATTTAGGGAGAGACTGCAGTGTCGGCCGAGAGCCTTGCTGAGGGACGACAGCAATCAGGGAAGAAGCATTCCTGGGGATGACTGAACCAGTTAGTTCTCCTCTGCCAATGTTCCTCTTTATTTCTGTAACAGAAGGTGGTGATGTAAATGAAGACTTGGCATTCCTTTGGCAGGAATAGAGTCCAAGAAAGGAACTAAATAATGACACATTAGATGTGTCTGAGCCCCCGGGAAAGGTGGGCAGGAGAAGCCCACATGGTTTACCTCAGGTTTGACCCACTCTGATGCCCTCCCAAGGTTGCGAGAAGGTCAACAGGCCCTTTCAAGACCTTGTACAAGCGGCCTGGAGGTACCAGCTCAGCTAAAACTCTGCCTCAGTCCCTCCCCCAACGGGGAGCCGCCCATTCCCACAGTGCTGTCAGTGATTTCCCAGGCGTCCTTGCAAACCTTGGGGAACGCACCCTGTGTCAATGATTAACCACCTCCAGAGGTATGGTAATGCCTTCCACCATTTGGTGGGGTCACAGGTCAGGGAGGGGCGTTCTGTGTTCTCAAAGTGAGGAAAAGCATCAGAGTAGATAGCAACCCAACCAAAGGCACAGCAAATCCACACCTGAGCTGGACCAGGACTATTTTTCTTATTAACCTATGTTGTCTCTAAGACACACATCCTGATAGCAGAGGGTGTCCCTTGAATGGGCTTCTGCACTTGGTAATTGGCTGCGTCCCCACATTCCAGAAACCATGCTACTTAATAATTGTTGGTGAAGATAGTTGAACTACCACATATGAAAGCACTCCGTAAATTGTGAAGTAACACAAAACTGTTCTTGTTGTTGTGGTTAACCAGACCTCATTCAAAATGATGATCTATTTGTTACTATATATGTAATATATAGATGAATACATTGACATGGTAAATATTTACTGATATGGTAATATGCGCATGCTGTATTATATTATTATTATTTTTTTTAAGAGAGAGAGAGACAGACAAGCAGGAGAGGGGCAAAGAGAGAAAAGGAGACACAGAATCTGAAGCTGTCAGCACAGAGCCCGATGCAGAACTCGAACCCACAAACTGTAAGACCATGACCCGAGCCGAAGTCAGACACCCAACAGAGGTGCCCCTGTATTATATTCAAAAGCAGCTTACAAAACAGAATGATCTCATTTTAAGGGACGAGTAGATGAGCACAGGAACAGAAATAAATGCACCAAAATATTAACAGAAGTTATCTTTAGAAGTGAGTAATGGGTGATTTCTTTTTCCCTTTTTTATTCTTTTTGTTTATCCATATTTTCTAATTTTTTTCCTACGGTGAACACATTTTACTTCTATAATTTTATTTTAATGTTTATTTATTTATTTATTTTGAGAGAGAGCCAGGTAGGGGCAGAGAGAGAGGGAGACAGAGAATCCCAAGCAGGTTCCATGCTGTCAGCACAGAGCCCAACGCAGGGCTCGAAACCATACACAATGAGATGGTGACCTGAGCTGAAACCAAGCATCAGACGCTTAACCCACTGAGCCACCCAGGCGCTCCAAGTTCTATAATTCTGAAAACTTAAAATGCCTCCACTCCATCCCCCCACACCAGGCAAGAAGTCATTATAGGAAACCACTAACCACCGCACTCTGTGCACACACAACCAAAGGGAAAGGTTTTGTCAATTACTCCTCCTGAGGTGGTCTAATCCAAGCACATCAGGAAACACATGAAGTCGAGGATCTGGGCCGTGATCATCATACCCTCCATCACAGCATGTGGAAGAGACCCAGAGACCTACACTCGAAAAGCAGTAAGACAAACTCAGCTGGCCCTCGGCACACAGCAATAGAAGAGGCCCAGAGGCCCCAGACCTTGAGGAGTTCCAGGAGGGGTAGAGGATGGACACAGGCTCTGCCCAGTACC